TGGCACTCTCAGTTGGGTCCTGCCAGAACCAGCATTGTTACACCTGGGTACCAAGATACATCCTGTGTTTGTGTGTGTATACTCTATTGTATCTTGTAATAAGCTCTTCTGGAACTGTATTGTTGTAAAATTTTAAAAAATTATATAACAACACACATGCTGAACTCTTAGTATAATTCTATTTAGCATTTATACAATGCCAACATTTATACAGCAGCGTATATCACCAATGCACTGTATGAGCACATGAAACTATGAACACTATGCAGCAATACATTCAACATAAATAGCCATTCAATGCATACCTAAAAATAGTAATCAAGGGACGCTTCAGACAATGGACATTGTTAAAAAAACAAACAGACAAAATTTACTGCACTGTGGTTTTTGACTTTGCAGATGCATTTGCAGTCTTCCCCATATTTAGCTAGACAGAAGAGTGAAAACTGAAGTTTTGAAATACTAAGTATCAATTAAGTAAATGATTGCATGGATCCAACTGAGACTAGAATCTGGTCTGAGTTCAAAAGATAGCCTAAAGGTAACAGCATAGGTATGGGTGGCACAAATTACATTCTCAAGTAACTGCTGTGGAAACTAATACATCTTGAAAGAAAAATAAGTGATTTTTTCCCCTCGTGAAACTGACTCAGATATCGGCAACAATCAGGTACATAAGCGATTCTCATTCAATTGTTTACAAACTCCTCTGTGAATTTGTCTTCGCCCTGTAACTTCCCTGCTATTTCAGTACTTAGCTTCTCTCGAGTCAAGATGCATGATTGTGTCAAACTGTTTAATAAAGTGTGCAAATCCTAGCATATAGCCCTTACAGACTATCTATATATATAGCAAGTACAGATTTTGACAAGTAGAAGTTACAAAAAATCTAAGAAATAACCCTCCCCCCCCCAAGAATTATTAAGTGAAATGTTTGAAAACATAAGATGATTATAGAAAGAGGAATCTGTACTGTAGCAAATTGTTTAAAATTAAAACCAATATAGCTCATAACATTTTGGAAAAAGAATGCCAAACTGCATGAACAGAAGATACTTTACCTTTAAGGTATTTTAAGATATTTTACCTTATCCAGTAGTGTAATTTCACAATGAAATGCCATTAGCACTCCATGAGTATGTAAATGAAGACAACTAAATTAGTCCCAGTATGAATGTTAATTAGTCTGTTATGATGGTACTTTGGTATACCTAATATGATGCTGTCAAGCTAAACAATGAGTTCTTTCTAAAGAAAAGATTAATGGGTCTTTAAAGCTGGCTAACTGTTATTTATTCCAGTCAGACCCACATGTACTAGAGATATCTTCAACCAAGACTTTGTTTGCCTTTTAAAATATTAGTTTGTCCCAGTTTTATTATTTAGCCATGCCATTTTTAAGTACAAATGAACTGGTACATTATGTATGCTGACTACGCACCACTGGCTTTTGCTTCTAGTTAGATCCATTAGCTAGATCTATTGAGTAGCAATCTAAAAGTAGCAACGGATAAAAATTATTTCCATTTGGGGTTATAGCTGGTATGGCATAAAAACCTTAGTCCTGTGAAGATAATTAATTAATTTAATAAAAGACTAATTCATTTACTGACAGGTGACTGAAATTATTGGCCAGAGTTAGGTGCAACAGCCTTGCATGGCGCATTTCTGTGTACATGCAAATCATGTAAGTACAAATAGCCATTTTCGGTACCAAGAGGGCTCTGTGTGTTTGCATACATTATGCTCGCACAAATGTATGCACACAATTGCACCTGAAAATTGAAAAGCCGGCACTCTTTTGTTTTGTTGTAGCACAACAGTGGAGTGAAGGAGGACTGGATAAGTTGCAGTAAGAATTCACCTGCACCCGCCACTTTCATAGGTAACTAAGAGTAAATAGGAAATTCAAGCAGAAAAGTAACACAGAGTGTTACCCTAGAAAGTGATTGAAGCAAGAATACAACTGAATCCAAGCTACACACCTCATCTTAACTCCTTTTCCACAGGAGGTGGAGTTTAGGGAGCATAGTGACAAGGCAGAAATGTGGGATTAAGAAAAAGGGTTGGGATGTGGCCTTAAATGATTCTCCCAGACCTTTCTCTTGTTCCTAAGGGCATGTCTACACTGGCACTTCATCGGCAAAACTTTTGTCTTTCGGGGTGTTTAAAAAAAGCACTCTCCTGTCCGATAAAGCTGCTGCCACTCATGGGAGGTGGAAGTTTTTTGTCAGCAGGAGAGCTCTCTCCTGCTGACAAACAACAGCTACACTGCGTGGCTTTTAGTGGCATGGTTGTAGTGGCACAGCTGTGTCGCTAAAAGCTGCATAATGTAGCCATAGCCTAAAACTTCAGTTGCCCAGAAGTGCCTGATGAAGAGTCAAGATTAAGTAACGGATGACTGTCAATTTTACAATCATTAGGAAAACTAAAGTCTTAGTGATACATGACTTAACCTATCGTCTAAATTATGAACTTAACAAGTTTACTCGAGGGAACCTTCAGCTTTAAAAATCTAAAATGTCAATGATTTGTCAATTCCTAGGATTAACAAACTGTACACATTTACAGAAGGAGATGTAGTATCCTTATAATGGAACTAGGACGAGAAGAAAGTGAAAAACCGATTGTCTGGATGTCTAAGATATGTTCACTATCTTTTAAAAAACCTATATCAAGTATAAACATCCTCTCTGATTAAAGGGTTTCACTTTATTTTTGTAGATTTCTTTAGATTAGGGAGTGGTATTCTCCCCAATCCTCATATTAAAATTTTTTCCCAAAAAATCTGTGATCCCGCTCAAAAACAACCTATCAATACATTATATACATAAAATTCAACTGTTCTACAGAAAGATCTCTTTTAAAAAATATAACCAATACAAGAATTAAATGTTACAACAAGAAAGCAGGCACTAATAAAACACAAGATTATCTATCTAGTTTCTAAATGTCACTGAGACTTCTAAAAGTGACTCAAACCTTTCTGAATTCTTCCTGGTTGTCATTAAAAATGGAATCTTACTCTTCTCTAAATTATGCTGTATCACTTAAGGCTGGCAACCAAACTGGCAATCTTCAACCAAACTGATCTGCATCTTTCCATTTATCAGAAAACTAGTAACAGCTCCCAATTTCTCTTCCATTGTACTCACCAATAAAGCATCTCTGACTCCAAAATTAGAGATAATATTTGCAGCAGCATTTCTTAAAAGCAGTTAAACAAAAACAGACACACTTACATTTGCGATAAGGTGGAAGACACTGCAGATACTGCTAGAAAAAGTGATGTTCTCAGCAATGTTTCTTAGGCACACTAAAAACATCCTGTTGCAAGCTAAATTTGTGCTGTCCAATGGAGCATCACCAATGCAAAACTGCAAACTGGAAATATGCATCTAGAGTAGAGACTGAGGAGAAATCATATTCTGTGCTGTTCAGTGGCCTTCAACCACAATCTGAAATATCAGGCTGGAACAGCACACAAGGTGGTAAACTATTTACCTACAATAATGTACTGCAGTTTTGTACTGCAATCTCCAGAATACACACTTAGGAGAGAAATGTACAGTAGGTGGGATTGCCTGGAGCACCAGTGATGAAAAAATATTAAAATGGTAACATTCCCAAGAGTCATCTAGTTACTCTGACAGGCAGATTCCCCAGCTGATATTAATGGTTATAGCTCCATTGAAGTTAGCAGATGATCTTCCCCTCAGTATACCTGAAGGGAAAAAACTGTATGAAAAAACTCAGTCGAAGAAATAGGCCCAGAAATCTGAAATGTTATATATTTTAAAATGCTGTATTTTGTCTGTCTTTGAAAGTAGTATCTGGATCAATGCTCCAGGACCCTCTATTTTGAGCTTAAAAAGAAAAAAGAAAGAAAGAAACTTCCACATGAAAGTCAAGCCTGACATGATTCACCTAAACCTGTTTTCCCCCCCTAAGAATAAACAGTAGTAACATAATTAGAACTCGCCTACATAGGGAAGTTAGTGTGGAGTTAGCGAGGGTGTGAATTTAAATTACAGCAAATTACCTACTCCACACTAACTCTCTCTTTGTCTGCACTAAGAGTGCCTTTTTTTGTGTGCTTTACCTGAATACACTTTGGAAGTGTATTCAGCTAGGGCGCACAAAGGCACTCTCACTGCAGAGTAAATGTCCACATCGGGAGCTGGTGTAGAGTAGTTAATGCACACTAACTACTTTGTACCAGCTACTCTGCACTTTTCCCCCAGGTAGACAAGCCCTTAGAAGTAATAACAGTAATGATGATTTCAGATAGAAATTCTCTCAGCTTACAGTGGAACAAATAATAGATATGCTCAATGAGCAACAAAAGGAAACAAATCTTGAGTTTTATATAAGGATAAATCTTGAGGATAATACTAATTTGATGATAAACAAGAAAATAACTGATCTCCAGTCAAATTACTGAACACCAATTTTTGGCAATCCCGTGTTATAGGTACGTTACTTATTCTGAGCACCTCATTTTGCAAATTTTAAAATTCACAGTAGGGAAACAGAGTAAATTATAGATGTGTTCCTAACATAGGTAGTTTTCTTCTGATCAGCTGTGAATTTCAGTATTTTTAAGAACTCCTCTGCACACAGACATATTCATCATGACCTGCATATATTTCTATTTGCAAAGTTGTTGAATACAAACACTAGTTCCTCTGAAGCACTCTCCACAAGATCAAGTACAGGCTAATTCATAAAGACAAGCAAGAAAAGGTAATATTTCCACCTTCCATGCAAGCTATATATAGTTATGGCATTTTCAAGAAAATCCTTTTGCAGCATTTACGTTGTAATATAAACATACTGCGCTTTGCATATTTCATTACAAAAGCAGAGTCATGTTCATATTAAACATTTTATTAAATATTAATAAAATTTATTTATTTATATTTATTTAAATTTTTATATTTAATTTTAATTTAATTCATATTTAATTTTATTAAATAAATGATAAGTTCAGTCCTTACCAAATTTTCCTGGTTCCTGGCAGCTATTTTCTGATCATCTTCTCCCCCATTTTTCATGTATTTGACCTCTTCCACTGGTTTGATCCTATACTCATCTGAGTACCAAGAAAAAAAGAAAGAAAGAAAAGTTTTGTATCAGTGTACTTCAGTAAATGGAAAAACAGCTGACTGGAAAAAACATGCTGCCTATTATCAACCAAGCCCTAAATGGTATAGACCCTAGTAAGGAAGAGAGCAGACTCTGAGATAACACCCACCATGGAAACAAGTCTAGAAAAGAAAACTTCAAAAAAGTGACTCAAAAGTAAATCTCATGCGGAATCACAGGCAAAAAATTCTCAGTTATCTCTGGAATTTGATCCAAACAGATGTGCATCTTGGACCCAGATCTAGAGCAATGTGTAAGGCACATCTCTTTGTTTAGGTTTTCCAGTAACTTCAGGCATTAAAATTTTCTATCATCTAAGTCTTCAAGCTACTATTGCCATCATGGATCCTCTCTGGGAAGATGGGTCTGATGCTCTGAAAGTCTGCATGCTCCCTATTTGTGGGAAGATATTGTTTGATACAGTTCTAACCTATGCAACGTGTGCCCAAGGTAACTTAAATGCTTATTACTAGTTCAAGAAAAAGTGAAGCAATTTTAAAATACAGAAACAGAGCAGAAAATTAGTATTAAAGAACTAAAGAGAATTTACAGCTAACAAAAATCTTATAGCAGGTAGTGTTTCATGGAATTGGTGAGGAAAACTGAGGACTTGTGTGATACTGGAGTACAGTCTATGCTTGCATTGAGGGAAGGAGGAAATGATTCATGTAAGCATCACTCACATGTCTAAGGCTAACATATCCTCATGTAAGACCAAATCTTGAGAGCCTTACAGAAACCCTGACCATAGGCGTCGGAACCTTTGTAGAAGGGGGTGGGGAGGGTGGCCAAGGCCAAAGTGGCAGGGGAATTAAAATACTACTTAAATATCCCACAGAGTACAACATAACATAAGGGACCAGAATACAAAAGGAATCCACATTATAACATTTAAGGTATAATTATAGAATGCACAAATGAAAAAAAAAATAAGACAACTTTAATTCTAAACATCAGGACTGCATTTTATTTTTGCACTTCTTTTATTGTACTTCACTTGCATTTACATTTTACTATGTACAGTCCACTATTCATACTGCACTAATTATTGAACTGTAACTTGCAATTTGTAACATTACAATCAATCATCTTTGTTTATGTATAATGCATAATTTAAAAATTGTAACCTTAAATTCTAAATCTCCTTGGAAAAAGGCATCAGCCAAATAAACAATAACAAACAACTTTGAAGGGAGGTAAACATGTCCCCATATGAGAGCTACCATAAAAATGATTCTTCTAGTGTTTCATTAAAAAAATCAAATCAAAAATATATTTTTAGAAAACCTAAAAAACACCATCAACAGGCTGTAGCAGATAGAAGAAATACGATCTCTATTAAGCAAAAAATGTAAATAATGTAATTTTGATCACGCGATTATCTAGGATTGCAGTGGATATCTAGGAATGCATCTGATCCGATCTCACAGTGCATCTTGGCCTTTAGCAGTATGAGCCTATTTTCCCCACGATGCATATGTTTCTTTTCTGAAAAAAAAGGGGGGGGAATGGCCCCTAGGCCCCCCTGGTTCCAGCATATGACCCTAACTCAGCAAAGCAAGTGTAAGGGCATGCTTAACTTTAAACGTGTGTAAATCCCACTGAAGTCAAAAGGAAGTTTAGTCTGACTAAGACTAAAGTAAAGACCACAGGATTTGGCCTTTATAAATGGTTCAGTACCTACTCCTTCCAACATTGCCACCACAGCAGTATGAATGGACATTATACATGTGGAGGAACAAGACTTACAGTACATAGTCTCCTTTGTTTTCTATATGTTGTGACCTACTATGAATGAGTTCTATAGTCCTTGCATCTCTGTATCATCTTTGGCATGCAAACAAGTGATGCACAGTAGCTATTATATATGAGTTTAGCTATATACTGTCTGGACTGAAAAAAAAGTTACAGATTCACAGTTAAATTAAAGTTGCAAATTTACTGAAATTCCAGTGAACTTTTATACATTTTCTGTATTTCCTTTTCCACTACTGCTGATAATTGAGATGCATGTCTAATATCCCCTGCTGGACCACAAAAAGCCTTTTTTTGTTCCATGGCACCACTGAACAAAATAGTAAGACAAGCTGTTTTTTCAACAACTAATTTGAAATGCCATTGCTGTAATGTTTTAACAGGCTGGAGCAAAGGTAACACAAAGTGCAGCTATGAACTCTGAGGGGAAAAAGCAACAAAAAACCCTTTCCCTTTCAAAGGATGTTCTTTCTTGAAAGTGAAATTTAAAGACAGACAGACAGATAGACCTACAGGGCTCAGAAAAAAGAAGCCCCATATTCTGCTATTACTTAATAAGTTTAATACTTTTCAGCTGCACATTTCCAAGGGGAACTAATTTTTAAATAATGGATGTCTATTCAAGTGTCAGTGAATTATCCAGAACTCAAAGCTCACATCTTATCAACATCCTATTACATGTGCATGCTATAATACAGTGAGAAATGTGAACATAATCACATGTAATCCTCCGCCTTTTCCCCCAGCTAAGAGGCAGTGCCCTGGGTACCTGTACAGTGAGGGTACATCAACACTGCGAAAACAGAAACAAAAACAAAAACAAAATGCAACAGCAAGTCTCAGAGCTCAGGTCAGCTCACCTGGGCTCCTGGGGCTCATGCTATGGGGCTAAAAATAGCAGTGCAGACATTCCCACTGAAGCTGGAGCTCAGTCTCTGAGACCTACCCCCTCGCTGGGGTTCAGAGCCCAAGTTCCAGCCAAAGTGGGATTATCTATACTGCTACTTCTAGCTCCGTTTGAGAGTCCTGTGAGCCCAAGTCAGTTGACCCTGGCTCTAAAACTTGCTGCAGTGTTGTTTTTTCCAGTGAAGATGTACCCGAACTCCTCAGTTGCTTCTCTGACCCTGTGCCATGTAGTAACATGTAGCCAGTGGATCCACAGGAGATGAAACCAGGGCTCTGCAAAGATCATCCCCCAGCCACAGCATCAGGGTGGATTGATTTAAAAAAAAAGCAATTTAAATCAGTAAGCAGAAATCCTTCATTTAAATTATCGATTTTGACTGTGCTTTGCATTTGAACTTTTTAGTTATTTTTGTAAACAGACTGATTCACATTGGTTGGTAACCATTCAAACATGTTGATTTGCAACTAAATATAGCCTTTACACTAAGTTTGGTGCTCCTTTTTCCTAACCAGGAGGATAGACTATATCTATACATATTCATTTAAGTAATTACATAGCTTAATTTACATTTGTTTAGATTCTTAATTTTTACTCTTTTTTATAATGCTAGAAAATGTTGATTGATGCATTTCCTAGATGATTAATATGTTAGTTGTGATTTGTGTCAAGGTCTATTTGTATGGAAATTCAAATTCAGTTAAAAGTGCACAAAACCAAAACGTTATTTTTTTTATTAAATAAAACTACCTTAAATGTGCTGGGGAAAAAAAAATGTTTTACCAAAACATGTTTTATGGTTTAAACCAATTGATTTGTGAAACAAAGGAAGTATTATTTGTAGTCAGTGAATGAACTGAATGTTTCCCATCCTCATGTCCTTTAAGATTTTAGAACTAGTACATCTCCTCCTCTCACACCTAGTTTTTATTCATAGATTGGCAGAGGAAAACATGCTTTCCTGCTTTTTCAACTCCCAATCAGTTTCTTAGCTTTTATGAACCAGTCATTGAACTGAAATGAGTGAATAAACTGAAATGAAGAAAATATTCTCTCTGCACCTGCAAAAGAGGCTATTGCTGTCAAAAGCTGATTTAGCACTTCTACAAACGTTGGTTCCAGATGCTTAGCCAGTGACTGCCACCAGTTCAGTGGTTTGACATTCTTTAAAACTTTGCAGCAAACATGTACCGCTTATTTTTTGTATTTACATGATTTTAATAGATTACAGTATGGTTAGGCCTTACACCATAGGTGGTAATTTAATTTTAAATAGCTTTATTTAAAAATAAAACACAACCACCCTGTATTTAATTTACATCAAAAATCCAACTCAAATTAAAAAAAAAATTTTTTTAATTATCCATTTTTATTGACCATATATAGCATAAATCCTCCATGGGCATCTACAGAGAAAGTCTACCTCTGCTCTTCCTGGACCCCTGCATGCTGCAGAACAGCAGCATTCCCAATTGCAGACAGAGATGAGGCTCTTACAGCACATGCACAGATAAAATGTTAACACAGAATGAAACAGAATAAAAAACACTGGGGTATAAGAAGGCACAAAACAGGCAGGTAAAATAGGGCAAACCCTTCTGTTTTACTATTGGACTTTCATACAGTCTATTTCCCTTGCTAAGGGTTAACAATCAAAACAAAACAAATGAGTTTTCTTGGTTTTATTGCAACAGAAAGTAAGGTCTGGAAATGAAGCTACTCATTATACCAGCAACTATTTGGCAGCAAAAGAAATTCAGTCCCAAAACAGCTCACTTTTAAAAAAGGGTAGTTTTAAACTGACAGTAATTGGTTTTTAATTTACTTGGTGGTTTTGTATTTGGTCTAGTTCATACGTGTTTCTAACCAATGTAAATAAAACTAAGATGGCTGTAAAAATGTGCCAAAAAGCAGCATTTCAGTAAGACAGAGCTAATACTGAAAATAGATATGTATTGATAATTTAAAGCAGTATTACTCTACCAGCAAATATAAACCAAGTCCTATTTCTGAATTCCATCAAAAAGGGAAGTTGAGAAATCAGAAAATTGCCATTCAAAAAGTCCTAAACACTATCAAGACTGGAAATACTGAGTTAAGATTGCAATATCAACCTTCCTCCCCCCCCCCCCCACCTTCAGTGATTTTCTCAATCCTCTTGAGAGCGCCACAGTAGATTCCACATGAAAAAAACTCAACGTTCCCTTTTGCACATATGAATTAGAAGAGCAGAAAACAAATAGAATAGAATAGAAAAGATTTTATATGCTTCATATAACCTGCAACAA